GGGATTCTTCACTGTGACATAAAAAGGGTAGGTTCCCATCTTGGCAAGAAAGGCATGGCAGCAGGAGTGGGCATGGCATAGCTTCTTCTCACACCTAGGTGCACCAGGAAGCAGGGAGTTTGGCTGCAAGTGTTTGCCTCTAACCACCAAGCTCCAAGCACTCCCTCTCCAGTGATCCTCTTCTCCCTCCTAAAAGTTTCACTATGTCCCCAAACATCATCATCAAGTGGGGACTTAAGTGTTCAAACACATGACCCTATGGGAGTAATTTCACATTCAAATCAAATAACAGGGAACACACGGGCCATACTGGGGTTCAATGGACATGAAGAGAGAGAAAGACACAGAGTGAGAGAGAGACAGAGAGATGAAATGCCCACCCAGTCAGCTCTCTTTCTTTGACCCGAAATCCTTTGGGTTTGTGTCCCTTTTAGGCCACCGTCGAAAACGCTGGAGCTTCCTAGACAACAGCAGTGCCAACCTTGCTCCTGGCAGGAAGCTACCCTGAGATGTCAACAACACCTTTATCTTTGTCTTGTTCCACACAGGCCATCTCCTGAGTCCTCCAGAGAATACCCGAGTCACCATAGTGCATCGTCAGAATGTCCTAGCAAAAAGAAATTCTGGCGGGAGCAGGTTTAACCATTCTAATCTAAATGCAGCCGTCGTTAACCTACAGTATTCTGTGAGTAGGTGCCCTTGACTCTCTTCCTCAGATCCAGGTGAAGTTATGAAATACAGCAGGGAAATTGTCTTGGGGTTCCTGTTGGATGTTAAAGCTTCATCTTTGAAGGTTTCCTTGGATACTAACAACAAGCTTCAGCTGGCTAGCGAGAAAGAAACCTTGGGTCCATAAAGGCAAGCGCTGCCTTTGATGAACAAACATTAAAACCATTCCTTACCAGAAGTGGAGGCACACACCTGTAATCCCAGCACCTAGGAGGCTAAGGAGAGAAGATGCTAAAGAGTTTGAGGCTAACCTGGGCTATCAAGCGAGGCCCTGACTCAAGGGCAAAAGCATCTTTCTTTTCTTCATTTTTTTAAAACTTAGTTTCATTTTTTAATGTAGACCAGGCTGGCTTTGAATTCAAAGATCTGCCTGCCTTTAACCCCTGAGCACTGAGATTAAAGGCATGTGCAACTAACTACGCTGAGTTCATCCCTCTGTTAGCAATTGTTACAGTTCCCCCCACCCCTCCCCACCCCCTCAACTCTCCCTAAGCAAGTCTTTCTGTATAACCCCTTCTGGCCAAGAACTTGAAACTTAGACTAGGCTGGTCAGGAATTCACAGAGATCTGCCTGCCTGTGCCTCTGGGAGCTGGGATTAAAGGTGTGCGACACCTGACCCTTTTACAAATATTTTAAGGCCATCCATTTGCAGATAACTTGTGGCAGTGAACAGTCTCACCTTTGACCCTGTAGAGTAACCACGACCTTTCAATGTCACTGAGCCTCCTCAGAGGGGCCTGGGGGACAAAACTTCTCTCTACCTGCAATCACTTGCTTTGCAGGTTAAGGGGCAGAAAGAAAGGTTGTCACATCCTTGTCGCACGAGGTGCAAGCCTGGTGTGATGGTTATTTTTAATTGTTAACTTGACACAGTCTGGAATCACGTGGGAAGGGAATCTCAATGAGGAATATTCTAGATTGGGTTGTCCTGCAGGCATGCCTATGAAGGACTTTCTTAATTAGGTTAATTGAGGAGGGGAGACCCATCTTCTATGTGGGGAGGGGGGCATTGTCTCCAGGGCTGGGCCCTGGTCTGGGAAAAAGAGGAGCAGAGAGCAACCATGCATGCATTGCTGCTACCTTTGTGATGATAGATTTGATTTAACCACCCCTCCCCCGAGTTCTGGCTGCAGTGGTCCTCCTCACCATGATGGACTGTGTAACCTTGAACCGTGAGCCAAATAAAATGGCTCCTTTCTTAAGTTGCACTGGTCAAGAGTGTTTTATCATAGCACCAGGAAAGAACACAAGACAGTTGGTGGCTGCTGGAGCTGGGTAGCTAAACCAGCTGCCCGTGTCCCTTAACATTGGCTCAAGTTATGACCACCACACTGTGCCCAGCACCCTGTGTCAGCCCAAATGGCAGGCTCCAGACCCATAGCTGTCCTCACCTCCGGCTCTGTCCAGTGTCCGCTAGTCCTCTGGTGATGCCTGTCTGTATGTCCTGCCTTGTCATTTAGTTAGTGGATGAGAAATGGAGTAAAAGGAGGAGGATGTGACTACTCCTGAAGTATGGGGAAGATTTTTATTGTAGAGATAAGAGAGAAAGCAGGCAGATGGGAGAGTCCGGGCTGAACATGGCTGGCAGACTAAACGGGACCACCAGAGGAGGTGGGGGAGAGGGGAGCTGCTAACCAAGAGTCTGCTGTGGCCAAATGGCTGAGTTATACAGGGATCAGGGTGGCGGGAGGGAGAGCCTTAGGGTGGGCAGGTGGGGTGAGGAATGCTGGGAGCAGCCACAGGTACTTGTCCTGGAGTCTCTTGAGACCCAACAGGAGATACTTCTATCCTGTGTGGTCTGGAGTGTCCTTCTGGGCCACCTCGAGTGTTTACCTGTCTCCGGAGTCAGCAGGGACAGAGTGATGAGCTGTGACACTCTGGACAGACGGACACCTCCAGAGAATACAGGGAAAGGTCGGAGGCTCTGTTGAGGGCCAAGCTCGAGTCTTTTCTTGGTTGGGGGTTTAGTGGGGTCTGGGTCCCCTCTTTGACCTGGCTCACACACTTTACTCATCCCTGTGACCCCGACAGAAGCAACCTCAAGAAGGGGATTGATTTGGGCTCACGATGGGTACAGCTCATCCTGGCCAGCTGGGGCAGTGCCAGTCGGCAGTGTGGCTAGGCACCACGTCCTTCGAGTTCCACTGGCCTTCCAAAACTGCAGCCAGTTGGGATGAAGCATTCAAATGTTTGTGGGACACCCTTCATATTCACATCATTAACAGGCAAAAAAAAAAAAAAAAAAAAAAATACTCACCAGTGCCCGTACCCTGAGACCAGGCCTGGGATCTGGGAAAGGTACCAGAGTTTTGTTCACTCCCGGTGCCATCTGCCAGCAGGACACACACTGGGTGTTGACAGACTACAGAGCTGCTGCGGGGCCTGACTCTCACCGGGACCCCGAGGTCAGGGGTTCTGGCATTTGAATATGGAACCCATAGTCAAGGTTCTGAAGAACCCAAGCCTTCTAGCAGCTGCCTCAGAGTGCTGAAAACTGCATTGATTGGAGTTGTCATTTATAAAATAATTTTCTAGGGAACACAATCAAGTAGTAGCTTTAAAAAAAAAAAAAAACCCACACTTTCCAAAAGATAGTATTAATGCTGTGAACTGGCTTTGAGCTCACGAATGGGCCAGTAGTGGGTTACCTGCTGTAGCTTTCCCCGGCACTAGACTGGCAGAGGCTTGGGAGGTAGTATTGTGCCATCTCTCTTCTTTGTCTAGTTGCTTATAAAGAATGAGTGTTGAGGTTTTCGGAAAGGTAAAAAATAGTGCTAGCATTTCATGGGCATATGTAAGACGCTCACTGTGGGCTTTAAGGAAAGGGTGTGTGTCAATCATTAGAAAGATGACTTTTTTTTTTTTTTTTTTTTTTTTGGTTTTCCGAGACAACTAATCCCTGTACATAACAGTCCTGGCTAGCTGGCTGGGAACTTGCTCTGTATATCAGGATGGCCTTGAACTCAGAGATCCACCTGCCTCTGCCTTCTGAGCAGGGACTAAAGGTGTGTGCCACCAACCAGCCTTCTTTTAAGACTGTTTCTCATTAAATTGCCTAGGCTGACCTTGAACTTGTAATCCTCCTGTCCCGGTCTTGCAAGTAGCTAGAGTTAGAGGCCTGTGTACAATTATGCTTCTTGACTAGGTAGTGGTGGATGGTCTTGAACTTCTGACCTTCTGCCTCTGCCTCCCAACTGCTGGGATTTCAGGAGTACTCACCATGCCCTGTTGTGGCTTCTTGAACAAAAAGACAGCTTGAAAGTCCTGGAGGATATCTACCCATCAGGACCCATGCTATTATGCTAGAAACACACACACACACACACACACACACACACACACACACACACACACACAGCATTGGGTGTTTCCACTAGGCTTCCTTGTAACAAGCACAGCCCTTTACCTCCTCTCAGATGCCTGCCTGATGCTCACATGCAGATGTGCCAGCTGCAGGCATGCTGTTCAGCAGAGAAGCCTAACAAGTTTGTCCAGCAAATTAGATTGTACTCTGGGATGGCGTCTCTGTGGCCTCAGACTGGAGGTGCTGGCCTGTACTCCCAAGCTCCGAGGCAGATGAAGGCTGGCGACCCTGGGCAGGCATATAAAATGAGTCCTCGTGGGCTTGAGCATACAGGGATTTGAGTGAAAAAAAATTTAAAAAGCTCATTAAAATTAGAGGCCTCTATGACATGTCCAGACTCCTTCCCTGGAAAGGGACATAATGGGATCCAGTTTGCATGCCGGCTAGGTAGCCTCTGTCCCTTGGCTGGCCTGAGACAGTCTGTGTCACCTTCTCCTACCATTGTGTGTTGGGGTTTAAAGAGAATTGTTGGATGGTGTGAAAGGCTGCAAACCCAGGATTTGGGACACAGTGAGTTCCAGGACAGTCTGGATACATACTAGCAAGTTCTTGGAAGGAAAAAAAAAAAAAAAAAAAAAAAAAAAAAGAAAAGAAAATAAGATGGGGAGACATCAACTCAACTAAAATACCAACCCCCCCCCCCCAGAAATGCACTTACCTCTGGCTAGGGGCTAAGAGTCAGAATGTAGAATCTGTGTCCCCAAGAGACCCCATAGAAGTAACTAGAACCCCAGATGAATAAACAGCAGCAAGCTTGTGACGTGCACCTCCTACCAACAGCTGTTCCTTCCTTGATTAGAACCTAGGAAGGAAATCCCGCCTCTCCCCGCAAGCCCCATCCCTCTCTGCCCAAAGTCAGGTGTGGGGACCCGAGCTGCAGCTTTTACACAGGACGGAGCCTCAGTCTTCCGCTTTATAGCGTTCTTTATGGCATGAACCAGGAACGCAATGTGTTTACACAAACACAAAACAATTGTACATCAGCATCTTTACAATATTAAAGGAGCCATATACAAGTCTACAGGCATTATACACAAGGGGGTGCCGGCCAGGGCGCCCCTTCATCAGGTCTCTGCCATCCCCCGACTTGGGAGGACTAGGGGAGATGTGACAAGGCCTGTGTGTCCACCTTTGGGGCCTGTGGTCTGTGAGGACCTCTCAGGCCAGTCCTTGTTGGGATTTGGAGTTAGGAGCACTGGGGAAGCCGGGGTCTGTGCCTTACTGACAGGCTAGTTTAGTACATTTAATTAAAACTCCATGTGCATGAGTGTGGGGAAATTGGAGTTGGGGCAGAGGGTGGCTCCCTGAGCTGGGGACCCAGAGACTGGCGGTGACAGATGGGTCCCTTGGTAGAAGGGCCCATTCCTGAGATAAGCTGTGGCCTGTGCTGACTGGATGGGTGGAGACTTCTCCGAGAACCCAGACGTGAACACAGTCAGTTGGGACGGGAAGCTGCTGGGCATTGGCAGGTCAGGTGTGCACCAAGTACAGCCTGGGTTACAGGCGGCAGCAGAGTGTCTCAGATAAAAGTCACAGAGTCACTTAGCCCCCAGAGCCCCCTCCCGGCTGCCCTGCCCCAGGGGCCCTGTTCCATCTTAGGCAGCGGCGCACCACCACAGCTGCCTGCCACATCTGTCCCCACAGCCCCAGCTCAGCAGGCACCTGGGCCTGACCGCCGGCAGCACATCCTTTGCAAGGCTTGCTCAACACTGGGCTGAGAGCTGAGCACCACGTGAAAGCAGCGACGGTCCTTGTTGGCCTTGCCGACTTGGGCATCGACAGTTAGTTGTGTTTTAAATACTGTAGAAAAATAAGCCATCTCCAACACGAGGAAGCCTGCCAATGTCCGCCAAGCGTGGAGGATAAACAGCCGCTCTGAGGTGACTGGCCCAGCAGAGGATGCTGTACCAGGCTGAGGAGCAGAAGGGCTAGAAGCTGGCAGCATAGGTGCAGCCCGGCATCTCTGGGTCACATCGACAGTCCTTGCACAGGCATCCCTCATCCTGTTGCCATGACAGCTGGTACTCCCAGGGATGAGCTCAGACCCTTCATTCCCACCCTCAGTCTGTGAAGCACAACCAGGCAGGGACTCCTCGGCACTGTTTCCATGCCCCTGGGGTTGCCCCAGGAGTGAGGGGGTCTCAGGCGGGCCCCAAGGCAGGGCCTAGTCCAGGGGTTCTTGCTTTATCCGCACGGCAGTGGGGGTGGGCTGCGGTCGCCGCTCCTCCCGGCAAAGCACATACTCGCTGAACTGAGAGGAGTCCACACCGCCCCCGCAGGAGGCGGCCACGCTGAACCCCCTCTGAAACAGCCTTTCTAGGACCTGCAGGGGAAGAGAAAGGGGTCAGCAGTGCCCAGCTGCCAGAGTTCGCCTGGCCGGTGGGCAGCTGGGTGCCAGGCAAAGCAAGCTACCTTCTGATGGGTTTTAGTCCCAGCTGTGATACCAGCTGGATCCTACCCTAGGCAGGATAGGTGCAGTCAGGCCGCAACTTATCCAACCAGGGTGGGCCTCTGCTATCCCACCCAGGCTACCGCCTCCAACCCTCAGGGGTGTATAACCAGAACTAGGCAAGCAGAAGAGGGTTTGGGGGTCCTCTCCCTGTTTTCCAGGGTGTGCCCCTCCCCATCACACACACACACACACACACACACACACACACACACACACACACACACACACACACGGCCCCAGGCACCCCCTCTCTCAATCTCCTGCTCCAATAATGGAAAGCCCCTGTCCCCTAGCCTCAGGGCAGCCACCTGCTTCCTGGAGCTGAGTCCCAGATGGTCTGAGGCCTCAGGGCTCATCAGCTCAGAGAGTTCTAGGTGGAGGGAAAGAGGGGGAGTCCTTTCGGTATGTGAGTCTTTGTAGGCCCACATGTCTCCTGGGTTACGTCTTTGGGAAGGTGGGGGCTGGCCCCACATCTGTGTCTTGCAAATAGTACCTACCCTCCCACTCAGAGCCTGCAGAAAGTGAGGGGCTCTCCCCAAAGGGCCCCTTCTGTCCTAACCCCAAAACATGTGTCTCTGAGTCAGGAAAAAGCTTCTAGAAACTTCCAGGGAGCTGAGGCAGGAGGAGCTGAAGTTTGCATCTGGCCTGTCTCAAAAAGAAGTGCTCTAGGCAGCTGCTGCCTGCCCGAGGCCCTGGGGCCAGCCTCATGGGAAGACTCCCTGCCTTTCCTGGTGCCTGGGTTTAATTTGAATCCAAAGTCAGCCTCTGCATGTTAAATGAAGCATGTTCCGTTGAAAATTCTCTGGGCCATTTTTTTTTTTTTTTTTTAGAACATCCTTTTAGGGGGAAAAAGAAAAGTACAGATCAATTTTTTTAAGTCCATCCCCCAGGCACCATCATTTAATTATGAGCAAGGCATAAATTATGCATGGGCACATTGTTGCCTGTTCTGTATGGGTTTCGTCCATTCCGTTCCGGGACTGTGTCTCCCTCCGCCTCTCTCTGCATCCTGGGGCCCCTCACCTGCACAGAGTTGAGTCGACAATAGCCATTGAGGGGAAAACGGATGACGTGTGTGGGGTCCTGGTTCCAGCCAGCGTTGACGGAGTTGCACATGACATCCCCGGTCTCAGGGAAGACCTCCTCAATGAGAGCTTTCTCGCCACTGAGTGCAATGCGTTCACCCAGGTCGGGGGTGACTCGTACCACCAGGCAGTCGCAGGCGCGGCTACGGCGTCGCTGTTCTTGTTCTTGCTGCCAACGCTCCAGCTCACGAACCATGGGCTGCAGTTGGTAGTACCGCGCCTCCTCATACAGCAGGTTGAAGTCCTGTGGACAAACACAGTGTCAGGGAAGCAGGAAGCAGTCCCATCTGGGTTGCTCATCCTGTCTCCAGTGGGGTCCCTTTCTCTCTTCACAGATAGCTTAACTCCCAGAGTACAATGCAGACTAGGATGGTCATTTCCACTGTAGAGACGAGCAAAGACTCCAAAGAGTGTGCCCCAGATATACGGAATCTAAGAGCAGGCTGGAGTGCATCTGATGAGATTCTCTTCCTGGACCTTCACCTGGATGGCCAACAGGAGTGTCATAGAAAGAGCTGGAAGCTGCTGGTGGTGCACCCCTTTACTCTCAGCACTTGCGAAGCAGAGGCAGGCGGATCTCTGTGAGTTCAAGGTCAGCCTAGTCTACAGAGGGAGTTCCAGGCCAGGCAGGGCCACACAGAGAGACCCCGTCTTGGAAAAATAAAGGAAGGAAGGAAAGGGAGGGAGGAAGGAAGGGGAGGGAGGAAGGAAGAAGGGAAGAGAAGGAAGGCAGGGAGGGAAGGAGGAAGGGGAGGGAGGGGAAGGGGAGGAAGGGAGGGAGGGAGGGAAAGAGTGAGCTGGAAGCTGAACTAGAGGGGTGGGATCTGGGCATACGCTGCCTTCCTGGAAATCCACCCAGAGAAGACATCACACTGGATCTAGAACATTGTGCTCTTGCCCAGCTCCCAAGCAGCCCTCCACGGAATGCATTTCAGCCTGGTCACCCGTCAGCCACAAGGCCTACGAGCCTAATACCAGCCTTCCTGTGCCAGCTTGCCCTCTTTACAATATAAACACCGGACCCTGAGAAGCAGAGTGAAGATTAAAGCACAGACCTGCCCAGTGTCTGTCCCTGCCCAAGCAGCTAGAGAAGATGACAAGGTCCCTGGGAATGAAGGTCCTGGGACAAGGACCTCACCAAACAGCCCATTCACAAAAACTGTCTCCTCAGACCCCGACACTAGCCGTGTGTTCACCAATTCCTGAGTGGCCTATGCCCATGACTCATGCCGCTCATCGGGGCTCAGCATCGGTGGTGACTGACGGTCCCAGGGGAAAGGCAAGGGAGATGAACTCTCACGGCACAGCCGACCCTGAACACCCAGTGTGTATCTGTCTATTGACCCCAGAGGCCCAGAATCCCATCATCTAGGCCCACGTGTTATGACCCTGCCTGCTTTCCATAAACGACTCCTTGGAGGCTCCATCCCAAGTCTGTTCTCCTAACTCTCACCAGCCCTTAGTTGTATATCTTTCCCCAAGCCTAGAATGTTCCATGCCCAGACTTTCACTCACCGACCCAGGGCTGAAGCTGCAAGCTGGACACACCCTCCAGTACCTCCTGACCCAATAACCCACACTCAGCCTCTGTACCCTATCCCTACTCCCAGCAAAACCAGAAACACAGTGACATAAGTAGCCTGTCCCCACGCCTGCTCCCTGCATCTCCATCAGAGCCCGAATGCTCCTCCCAGTCTGCAAACCTCATCACCCACCAAGATCCAGGTCTCACCCGCAGCCCCCCCACCCCCTCCTTCCGGTTCACAGCCCCCCAGACCTCCTCTCCAGGGCCACGAGGGCCCTCCCACATGTCCCCACCCTTCCTTCCCACCCAGGCCAGGTTCCCCCATCTTTTGACTAGTACTCGGTTTTGTTTGTTTTTGCTTCTTTGTTTTGAGACGGGTAGCCCTGGCTGGCCTGAAACACCCTCTATAGACCAGGCTGGCCTCAAACTCACAAAGACTAGGCAGCGTTTACCTCCCAAGTGTTGGGATTAAAGGTGTACACCATCATTGTTGCTGACTTATTTTTAGATAGTGTCTTACTCTGTAGGCCAGACTAGCCTAGAACACTCAGCAATGCCCTTGCCTCAATCTTGGAAGGCTGGGATGAAGTGTGTCTGGTGGGATCCACACCAGGCATGTACAATGTTCTGAAGCAGCGCTGGCCCCAGGCAATTGAGACTAGACCTCTGTTTTCTGGACTGGAAGGGGCAAAGCCTATGGCTTCCTCCCGTGTAGCTCTCTTTTCAGACCAAATTCAGTTGTTGCCATTTAGTAACTAGGCAGGATGAGAAAGGCCCCTGGGCTGCTAGTGCAGAAGCTGCTGCAGGAAACCTCAAAGCACCGAAGCACACAGACAGACAGACATTTTCCAGCAAGACCCAGGCCTGAGTTTCCTTCTTCCTATGATTCCCAGGACTTGAGAGGGGCTCGGCGATGAGGCAGGACCACAGGGAGCCAGATCAGCCACCTAAAACAAGCTCAGCCCTCCTGGGATTAACATTTGTTTAAAGGGTGGCCACCTAGCTCTTAGGGGTTTTCCCCACCGCAAAGTGCAACAAGGGACAGACACACAGACCTCTAACTCCTTAAACACAACTAACATCCACCTGGGGTAAGTGCCAAAGCGTAATTGTTGTTACACCCCGATAAACACAGGCAAGATGTGAGAAGGCAAAATGAGTTTAGAAAAACTGATTTAGCCCTCGGCTTCATCGGTTAACTTTTGGTGGTCGCCATGACAACTGTGGGTCCGTTTATTAAGTCACAGCGTCCCCTGTGTAATGCCACCACACAGGCAGTGCGGGGGGGGGGGGGGGGTGGCCGCTGGCTGCGTGCGGACTTACCTTGAAGTCATCTGGAAGCAGCAGTTTGGACGTCCGCAGGAAACTCAGGATGTAGCGGAAAATCTCCCCATCCCGGTCGATGAAATAATGTTGCTTGAGACTGTCTAGGACAATGGGCTCTGTGCCATTGAAGAGGCGGCTTATTCTGGGAGAGATGGGCAAGATGGGATATGGATAGGGTAGGGTTAAGTTCACCTGCCCCAACTCCACTCCTTAGAACTCACTCAGAGTCATCTAAGGTAGCTTGGAGACCTTGCCAATCCTGACAGTTGTCAGCACACACATGTGAGGCTTCACACACACAGGACACTAGGGCAGCCATTTCACACACTTCCAACCACACTCCCCAGCTATAGCCAGCTAAGGGACATATCTAGCTATGTCTGATGACCCACTGACACGTATTACAGGCCTGGAAAACCATGGCGAGACACAGCCAGCCACATAAACCAGCTGGTCCAAGCTGCACACACACCCGTGGCAGAAAGATGTGTCCAGAAAAGGTGTGTCGACCACCCAGCACTCCAGTTAGACATCTGCTTAATGTATGTCAACCAGCCAAGTCTCTGGGGACACACACCTCACCCAAGCTACATCACCAACATCAGGTAATAATAGCACATGCAGCCGACAGGCCCACGACCACAGTCTCAGGCAGTGACATTCTCCAGCTAACACAAGCATGTGGAGTGCAGCAAGCATGCAAACCCCAGAGCACGTGATCATGTGGCCCCAGCCCTGGACAGGTATTCATGTAGTTCACACATGTGCACATCTGGTGAGAGGCTGGGATTGGAAAGACACAGGGCCTGTGGGAGACCTTGGGGAGCCCCTGACATCTGTCCATCTCATGGCAGAGAAACCTGGCCCTAGGACCTAGGCTGTCTCCCTAACGCACATAGTGGCAGGGTCTGGTTTGGTTAACTGCTCCACGCAGATCTCAAAGGCTAAGCTAGATAATTAGGAGCCACAAAATGGGTTGGGGGCAGCTAAGATCTTCACTTGGGAGCAGAAGCGAGGTGGGCAGTGTTCTTCAGTGGCTGGTTGACTTCGAGCCTGGGAGAACTGTTCCCGAGAAAGCCTTGGAGGCTGAGCAGTGGTGGCATGTACATTTAATCCCAGCCCTTGGGAGGCAGACACAGGAGGATCTCTGTGCATTTAAGGCCAGCCTGGTCTACAAAGCCAGTTCCAGGACAGCCAGAGCTACACACAGAGAAACCCTGTCTTGAAAACCCAAAACCAACCCCCCCAAAAAACAAAAAACAAAAAAAAAAAAAAAAAAAACCAAGCCTCGGAGAACCAGGGAATTAGGGGATAAGGGTAACGTATTGGCTTGGCCTACACCAACCACCCTGCCCCTTCCAAGAACCCTCTCCCTGTCCTGTTGGTATAGCTATCCACTCAATGCTTAGTCCAACTCGACCACACCCAGCCACAGCATGTGTATGTACCCACAGCAGGCCAGTTGCCAGAGCTGAGGGGTTCACAGCCCCCAATGCCCTTCTTAGGTACTCCCAATCCACAGTCCTCTGTTCTGGTGGCCCTGTAATCCCTTGTTCTCATCCTGGGGATGGATTTTTGGCCCAGCCTGTCCCAAGGGGGCAGTATAAAGGGCAAGGTTGCCTGGCGAGTGGGAGTGCAGGTCAGAACCTGTGGGCTAGAGGTGTGGAGGCCTGAGCTTGAAGAACCAGAGGTACAACTGACAAACAGAAATCCTGAGCGTTCCAGAGGCTGCTGGTGACAATGTCCTCCCCAGGACGCAGGGAAGGGCAGAGCCAAGGGCCCACACCCAGGTCACTGTGCTCTCCCTCCCCCCCCCCCCCTTTCTCTCTGGCTCCTGACACCAGCTCCACTGCATACAGGCCACCCTGACCAGCCAATGAGAACTCAGGATTCTGCTGGCTGGTGACCCCGATGCAAACCCTTGTGAGTTGCACAGCCCTTTGCAGACCTGGCCCTTCAACACTTCAACATGTAGCTGTGGGGGGTGTGGGGGGCACCCAGAATCCCTGGACACAGACGTGACTGAGCCACGATGTCAAGTGCCAGGGCAAACAGCTGAGGGCCCATGCCGGGCTCTGGCAAGGGAGAGGTCAGAGGCAAGGGTACAGGTGAGTTAGCAAATCTGACACCTCAGCCTTCCTGGGAACTCTTTCCGCCCTCCCCCGGCCGAGCTCAAGCGTTCTGTTCTGTGTGGCAAGCAGAATGCTGGGTCTGGCTGGGTTCCAAGCTGCTCTGATGTCGGAGTTGGCAGAGGCTCCCTGGAGTCTGTCCTGTCGGTCTAGAGGATTCCCAGTCCACCCACAGCCCAAGGCTGGCAGGGTTCTAGGCTGTCTACTAAGCCAAGACAAGCAGGTTCTAGATCTTTCCACGATTTGGTGTCAGTTCCAGGACTAATGGCAGGTGGACACCTCCTCTTAGGACAGAGGCCTTTCATGGCCCCAGCAACCAAGTTTTACAGTGGATGCTGGGCAGGCTGGAGGGATATTTTGGATAGTTACCACAAGGAAACCCTTAGCATTTCACAGGGTCTCGTGAGCAAGCTCCTGAGTTCTGTTGGTGGCTTCATGTGCCTCTGTGGGAACTATGCCTAGACCAGCCCTCTGAGGGTGCAACTTCCAGAGGTCCTCTGCGGAATAAACCTGCGGACTCCTCGCTTTGGCGGCTGGGACCTGCACTATCCAGCCACTTGCCCTGATGATAAAGGGTACGTGCCATCATATTGCCTTCATCCTCCTTTTGAAGCGCCGCCTCTGGCTTCCTGGGTAGTGCCCAATGTTATTAGCTCCGAAGCGCCCAGCCACCTTTGTGTGCTGTTCCTATGCCAGCACGGGACGGTGTCAGCAGCAGCTAAGTGACACCCGTGAGCAGGACACAGGGAGAGGCAGGCCATGAGGCCACTCTCAGCCTCAGGCCATTTGCTCAGGTTGAACAGGGGAGTCACCCAGCACCAGGCCCACAGGGTCTAGGCCACCCCGACCAGCCAAGAGCCAGAGGTTGGGGTACAATGCTATGAGCTCAGAGAGCGGAGGCAAGGGTCCCCCGACTCCTACAATGCTTCCCAGGGTGGGACACTGCTGGCATCCAGAGCTGTCTCCATGGGTAACCTCAGCACTTTTATTTCTGTCTCCATCTGTGCAATCAGTGGTACATCTTTTCCAGGATTGTAATAATCCACTTGTAAAAAGCCCAGGGGACCCGAAGGGGCATTTTCCATACAAAATGGCTCTGACGCTCCTCATGACCTCGTCTTTACTGTGTCATAGGTCTCAGCTTCAGGCCTAGCAAACGGCTCCGAGGAACCAGAATTATCTAGGCAGGACGACATATTCACCCAGTTCTGGTAAAGTACGTGGTATACCCTCTGGGCATACCCGAGCCGTGGAGGGTTCCACATGCCACATCACAGGTCAAGTCCTCAGCTCCCCAGAGAAAGAGAATGCCCGCTGCATAGCAAGCTGATAAGTGAGGGCAAGCTGCACTGTGGAACAGGGAGGGAAAATGTCCCTCAGTCCCCAAAAGCCACTAGAGACAAATGTGAATGGAGCCCTCTCCCTGCCCACACGGCCTGGGTGGCGATAACGGCAGGAAGGCAAAGATCAGACTTTAGGAAACACTATTCCAAGAAGGTTTGGGCAAAGATTTTTATGAATCTCACTCGCAAACACCGTCAGCCGATTATGGGTTGATCTATCTCACACAACTCAGGAACGCCGCAGAAGGCAAAACTGAAATTAAATGAAGAAAATCCGTCTCCTAGCCTAGACAGGGCTCTGCAAGGAAGCATGCAGCCAGTGCTGCATACAGCCTCACAGATCCTGCCCTACCCATGCTGCATGTTCATAAAGGCCCCTGTGCCTAGTCTGTGTTGCCACTCTCTGGACCGGACACAAAATCTACTTCCAGTATCCCCCTCTCCGGGGCACTCCTGTAACGGCAAGGGATCTGCCCAGACACCTCTGCACACTGAAATCCTCCAAGCTCTGAGCAGCCACCCTGGTGATGAGCCTTCGGTATCTAGGGGATTAATTAATTTCTCTTCTTATTTTAAATGTATAAAAGAGAGGCGATGCCTGACAGGCCTGCCCTCCTGCTGGCCAATGGTGCTTGCTGCTAAACCACGCCAGGAGCAAGCAGCACGGGCCCAGCAAGCTACACGAAGTGTCACCTGTAGGAGATGTGCACAGAGACACAGCCCACCCCCATTAGTTTTGCCGCCAGCTGTGGGGCCAAGGTGTGTCCTTGGGAAGTAAATCCAGGAGAAGTAACAGCAAGCGAGTTGGCGGTATTCAGTGCCATACCGCTAAGGGACCCTCCTGCGACCAGTCTGAAAGTCCCCAGTCAGGGTCCTGGTCACAGATATTTCCATGCATTACAAGGCATTGAACTCATGCTCAACCACTGTCAAAAATATATCCGACTGTCCTGCAATTTCTAACTCATTGCTACACCCTCCAGCTCCAAAGGTAAAGCTTGTTCCTAGCATCTCAGGTCAAATGGTGGCCGCCTAAAAAGGACGGTGCAACTGTAGCTGGTACTCCATTCCTTTCCCCCAGGGTAAGGGTAGGAAACAGCATTGACCATGTCCGCCCTCACCTGACTCCTAAGTGTCACTCTGTGAGGCTCCCCAGCCAGCGGCTGGCCAGGCTCATGTGGGACTGGATCTTGAACATCAGTGCAGGGTCAAAAGCCCGTCAGAAGTGGCCTTCAACAAGCAAGCCATCTCTCAAACCCTCAGGAGCTTTAGGGAGCGACCGACCTTGGTGTAGCATCCTACGAACACACCACATGCCCGACACTGGTGCTGACACATGCCAGCTCTTACCTGGAATCAGGGTACTTGGTGAGTGTGGCTAGGCTGCTGGTGTACATGTGACCGCCCACATCAATGTGCACAGGTGCGTTGGCTTTGGTGAGCTGAGCTGGCAGTGGGATCCCCTGGGCAGCCAGGGGAGACACAGGCGACCGGGTGAGTGACAGCCGGGACATATTGCCTCCCTCCTAGAGATAGAAATAAATTGAAAAACAGGGGTTCCTAAACCTCCATTTATTTCAAATGTGATCACAGATTTAATCAGATCATTTCTGCTTGTGCCTGATCACATATTCAGCTGACAAATTATGGCCACCACTGTAATTAAGTGTATTTGCATCTTTTTCTTCAAAGCACTGGGGGGGGGGGGGCGTAGGGAAAAGGATGCTTATTAGCAATAAGAAATCAAGAAAAAAAAATTTTTTTTCAAGGTGTCAGCCTCCAGGGGCATAAAACAAACTGCAAAATTCTAATTAAAGGTCGCAGGCTTATGTGTTAGATGTGAAATATCCCCTGACAAACGAATCACCAATTTGTGAATTGGGATTCAGGGGTTTTTTGCAAGTTTGTCTCAGTAACGAGACACCTCTAAATTAGTGACTTCCTCAGCACCTAAGGCGCCGAGCTTTATACATGTAGTAAATTTCACATCAAATTAGGAGCATTTTTGTTTCAAAAAAAAAAAAAAAAACACCATAATCGTCCAGTCAGTCGATATCTATCTCCTAAGTGCTAGGTCCCAGAAGACCTGCAGCTAGTTGAGCAGGTTCCCTAGCAAAGAGCAGAGGGCTGAGGGGCTGACCTAGCCCACCCTGTGAGCTCACCGAGGTGGTGCCGCCGCTGCTGCCGTGTGCGTTAAGCGAGGACCCGCTCGGCCGCTCCTTGCGGTGAGGCATCTAGGCTTCCATCCCTGCCCAGAGTATCTGTGGGAAGCAGTGACAGGGGGCTTATTCCTCAGTAGCCATGGGCACTGGACCTCCCCTGGGGTCAACGATTTTTACAAAGATACCATCTGGGACCCCATATATACCAGGCAGCCCTCCCAGATTCCATCCAACACTCCACACCCCAAAGCAGACCTCCAGGCTATAGTCTGTCTCTCTCTCTCTCTCTCTCTCTCACACACACACACACACTCACACACACACACACATACACACACTGACGTTTTCTAGGCAGCTCCATGTCTGCTAATTTGGCTAATGACAGCCTAAAACATATGCTCGCCATTATTGCCCCGCAATGTTTCAGAACAAATCTGATTTCTTTGGTATTTTGAGTTAGAGCCGTGTTACCAAGCGTGTCTCCTCTTGCATCAGTGGAGAGAACCTTGGGGGAGTGCAGCTCCCCTCAAATGACCAGGGAGCCCAGGACCTCTCACCACCCAGTTAAGATGCGGTTTGTATAGGACACCTCTTTCCTAAGAATCCTGGGCAGAGATGAGGACGAGTCACTGAGGAAGCCACCAATCACCTAGGGCTCCCAAAGCAGACAGAACCTGTCTTTGTTTGCCTACTCTGCACCTCCCTGCTTTTCCACAGACCCCTAGAATGGTGCTGCCTGAGCCTAATGTATTCCAGACCCCCTCAGGATCATAGGCCCTGGAGGCATGGAGGGCTGGCCAGACAGCAATCACCAAATGGGCTTTCTCCCCTCCTCCCCAGAGCTACTCAGGGACTTTCCTATGGCCTCAGACACCTGAAATAAAACTGTGCCTCAGTCCCCAGAAGCTCCCCGAGGGGGCTTTTTAAGGGAGCCATGCAGGAGGGTAGAAAAGGGTAGGTTTCTGGCTACCACTTCTAATGACTTAGAGCTGTCTCAAGGGGAGATAGAAGGGACTGATCTCTCTCTCTCTCTCTCTCTCTCTCTCTCTCTCTCTCTCTCACACACACACACACACACACACACACACACAGAGCAGGGATTCTACAAACATAACCTGGATTTCTCTGACATACGTTCACATGTTGTTTAACCCTTATGGGTCAACTACATGGTAACCTGGGTACCCATATGATGCTTTGTTTTCTATCAAACTCTCTCTTCTAGAGCTCTGCCTTAAAATTTGACATCCAATTATAAAACATGGTCAGAGGCACATGGATTCAAACCTTCAAATAGAAGACTCCTCCCCTCCTATGATTTCTTCTGTACCCCCCAGTGCCCTGGGAAGTGCTCTGACCTGAAACTGTTTGGGGTGAAGGGAGGGTGTTCTATCCCCATGGGGGTAGCTTATCCAGTCCCCTGTTTTGGACATTCCAAGTCACTTATCTCAAGGAAGTTTTTGAGAAGCCAAAACAGACCTGAGGGATGGATTATCCAGCCCTGGGAGGGGGCGGGGATGAGGGAAGTCAGAAGGGAAGATCCACTAAGGGTCAATAGGGCTAGAAGGAATTCCCACCCAAATTCTACCAAAGCACCAACCACGTTTCCTCCATCACCAGGGCCCAACTCAGAAGTGAGAAGTAGCATCAAGCGCCCATCTCCCAAGCTGGCGGAGCGTGTTTCCCACAGCAGAAACCAGAAACTCACCATTGGAAGCCCCAGGCCTTACGCCTTGACCCGAATCTCCACTGTTCCCTCCAACAAACGCATCTGCGGTGGACCACAGTCTCCCGAGGCCACTGCTGAGATCACAAGCATAAAAGTGCGTTTGATAAGAGATACAAGTTCACTGCACCAAACACCACGACCTAGACTCGGCTGAGGCTGGGCCAAGCCGCCTGTTGCAGGGACCTCAGCGGGTTTGCAAACTGGCCCAGCACTGACCCGCTTCTTCAAGCCGTGGTGGGAGACCCTGGTCCCGCGCCCACCCGCAGCCGAGCCCCGCCCGCCTCAGCAGAGGGAAGTGAGCAGAATGCCACGCTCATTTACACACAAAATGATTTTGTGTCCCATTGTGCTCGCAGTTGTTCAGCTCTCTGGGGGTGATTAAACTGGCTGAGCTGCGGCAGCTTGAGACGATTTCACTAAATCGCTTCTTCGTGAAGTCGCTTCTTTGCTAAGCTGTTATTTTAACCATAAAAGGTAAACAGAAGGCGCCTCTGAGTTCCCTTCAGCTCTACGCCCTGGGCGCCTGCCCGGAGCGACAGTGCCAGGGGCCTGCAGGACAGTCCAGGGGGGTGGACTGAGAGGGACGCGGCGGGCCACCTGGTGCGCGACAGCCCCGCCGCAGAGCCCGCTGGCCCATGTGAACTTCGGGGCTACAGGAGCCGGCTGGGCCGAACCTCCGGCCCCGCGGGGCAGGGTGGCCAAGGTACCCTAAGGGCCCAGCGAGGAAAGGGTGGGAGTACGGTGGGGGCGGAGACAAAGTTAAATCAAGAGGCAGACACTTCAAGACCACAGATGGGAAGCTCGCCTAATTAAGGACGTAAAAGCGCTTTTGTTCTCAAAGTTTATTGTTGCCGGGATTTAAAAAAAATTAATTGAAACTAATGCTGTTATTCACTCGTGCAGTTAAATTCCTTCATGCACATTTGAGACACCGAGTGAAAACTTGAAGGTTTTATCTTTCTGCAGTCGGGGGTTTCTTGAGGGAGGGCAGAAGGGCGCTACAGTGGCGCGGAAGGGGAGAATAGACTGTCCGCATCCAGGTCAAGGGGTGCGTGTGGGCAGCCGAGACAGGGAGGGGAGACCGAGGTCCGGTCTTGGGACCACCACCAGTGCGTCTGGCACGGGGCTCGTGGGGTGGGCGTCAGAGGACGCACATCTGTCCCGCTAGAGACTTTTCCCCCTTTTCTCTGATTTGGGCGCCAACCCGGTCCTGTGCGCCCCGAAACCCCAGCTGCATGGAGCGGGTTTCAGAAAGTCATCGGCTCTGCAGGGCACTCGAGCCGGCACTGGAACCGGAGTGCGGAGGACCCGGACGCAGTGCACCGCGCGGCAGGAAGATCGGAGCCGGGCCGAGTGGGGAGGGTCCACCCGCGGTCAGGACCAGCCCACGTGGGCTCCCCCCGCCCCGTGCGCGCCAGGCCTTTGTGCTGGGCGCCCCCACGCCGCCAGCCCCTGCGCTCAGCCGAGGGACAAAGCAGCCCGCCCCCCCCAACCCCCAGCCCAGGTCCCGGCCCCGGGCCGAGCGACTTTCTCGGCATTGCCGCCACTTTGGGAACCAGGGGTGTGCGGCGCTGAGCGGTGGCCGCCCGCGCTGGGCTTACCTCGGAGCCGGAGCGGCGGATCGGGCTCCGGCGCAGCCCCCGCCCCCCGCAGCCGCCGGTGTCGGGCGCCAGGCGCAGCCTCGTCGCCTAGTGCTCGATGCGCGCGGGTCGCTCCGGTCTCGTCCTGGAGTTACTTTCTCTCTCGCCCCCAACCCTCCCCCCACCCACCCCTCCCGCCCCGGCCCCCGCTCCGCGCGGCCCCTCGCGGCGCGCCGCGCCGGGGCCTCCCCTCCCCGCCCTCCCCTCGCCTCCTCCCCTCTTCGCCGCGGCCGCCGCCGCCGCCTCCTCTTCGCGCCGCTCTTCGGCTGCCCTCCCGCCGCTCCCACCTCCTCTCCTCCCTCTCTCTCCAGCGGCTTCCTCCCCCGATGGCTGGGGGAAAAGAAAAAAAAAAAACAAAACAACAACAACAAAAAAAAAAACCAACCTCTCCCCCCCCCCCCAAGCCCAGCCGGTAGCCTGTGCGCCTCGCCGCGGCCCAGCCCGGATTGCAAAGGGCAACGATCCGGTTCCAAATTACCCCGGCGCGGCGAGCGCGAGCGGGCGCGCGCGGGCGACTCCTGGCTCCGGGCTCAGCTGCGCCTCGGGGCAGAGGATTAGAGTCGCAATTAGCTCCGCGCGCCCGCGCCTGCCGCGCTCGGCGACAAAAATGCACCGTTCCCCCACCGCCACCACTTCCTTTCCACCTCGCGATCCCCACCCGTGGTTCCTGGAGCCCGGTGCCTGCGTGCCGGGGGGCTCGGCCAGGACCCTTCCGGGAGCGCTGCGCCCGGGCCCCGCGCCCTCTGCGCCCCAGCCCCCCGCCGTCCGGCCACGCGGCGCCCGGGCCTCCTCCGGGCTCGGGGAGGGGGCGGGGGAGAGGCTGATTTTAATCATTGTCATTTCATCTGATGTAATATTTCCCCGGGCGCTTTCAGCTGGGCATAAATTTTCGACTCCCAAATAAGTAACACAGGGCACGTTTCTCACATTTCTCGACTCCTCGGTTACAAAGAGGAGAGAAGCAGCCGCCGCCGCGGCGCCCCGGGGCTGAGGGCGGGACTTGGTGTGGGGAGGGGAGAGAAACTGGGCTGCCAGGCGGCTTACCTCCCTCTCTCCCTCCCTCTTTCCCGGGGTCTCGGCCCCGGTGCCCCTCTCCCGGGGAGCAGCGCCGCCCGTGACGTCTGCGGACACGCGGTGGCCACCGCGGGGGAGGGGCGCGGGGCACCCGGCCGGTCGCCCGGGGCCACTCGCGCCATTTCCTGAACGAGCGCGGCGCGATGGAGACGGCGGCGGCCAAAGGTCCCTGCGGCGCGGGGCCTGCGCCCAGGACGCCCCGAGCTGCTCCGCGCTGCCCCTTCCTCCTCTTCCTTGCCTTGCGCCCCGCCCGCCCCTCCTCCTCGACCATTTCCCGGCTCCTAGGAAACGGATCGTGGTCGGTGCGCTTTGCCCATACTGCGCCCCCGCCTGGTTCCCGGGACGCCGGGGCCAAAGCCAGGCTTTCGGCGAGGAAGGCGGGTGCGCTCCGATTGGGAGCGGCGCCCTGGTCCCCCTCACTGACTCCGGCCGGGCCTGGGCGCCCTCTGCTGGCCAAACTCCTGGGGGTGCTCTCGAGGCCAGACCCGAGCACTGTAGAAAGAAGATTGGGGGGGGGGTATCTCCCCTGACTCAGGGGATCTCTAGTGCCAAGAAAGCATCCCGACCGCGCATCTGTAACTTCACGCGGGAATAAGAAACTTTCCTCCCGAGGGAGTTATTTATTTATTTATTTATTTATTATCTCAAACTACTAGAGAAGGGGGGAAATTTTCTCATTAAAGTTACATCCCTGCAGTTAGTTCAATTACTTGATATATGCAGAAGATGTTGTAAATTTATAGATTTAAATAGCTTACAAAGATGCCGCAGGCCCCATCAGTTAATTTCCTTAATTTATGGATTTTAAGCTGCTCCAAGAACAGAAAGGGGCCCCGAGAAGTAGGTCAGGGATCTGAGCTGTGGGGTCCATGGCTGCCCATATTGGCTTCCCACGCTCAGGAACCCCCTGGTCTTCTAGCTCCCAGCTTCGATTAAAACAGTGCTACTCTTCCGGCCCGGGTCCAGTTCCCCAGCTGGCGTCCTCAATCTTTTGACAGCTTACAGTAGTGGAACCTAGAAACAGTCAACCCCCGCAGTGTTGAAGAAGGAGACCCTCTGAACAAAACTCAAACAACTTCTCAAGGACTGTATTCACAGTCTTGTCTGGAGTGAGTCCTTCCTGGAGCTGGCTGGTGGGCAAATGCTCTCAGCTCCAGGAATAGAACTTTCCCACGCCTTTTAGTGAGGGAGGTATGCTAGGCTCACCTGAGGATGAAGGACCCTCTGAAAACTGTTTGTCATGGCCAGAGTGGCTGTTGACGAGTCTGTTTTGTGTTCAATATGGTTGAATACATGCATACAAATTCAAACTTAAAAGATAGGCGTGAACTAAACCGTTTTAGGAAGCCACATGGCAATGTGGTCAGGATTGGCATTCATGATTTAACATTTCTTTTCCCTCTAGATGAAGTTCCTAAGATTCACAAGGCACATGTCAAGGACGGGTGTATAAATGGATTTTTATTTATTCACAACTCCACGACTAATTGCTTCCCTTTGCCTCAAGGCCACGAGATTGGTTTTAATATGACACTTCAAAAGTATTCATAGAAGTCCAGAGGTAGCAAGTGTCATTGTTTAAGAGACAAATCTCACCGTGATACTGGCTGACCCTGAAAAAAAGAGCAGGTTTCACTTTATTTTAAATTCCCACATGTTTTTTTAAAGTTTCACTGATACCAACTATATTAAAAATGCACAATTTAATCAGAGCAAGGGCTGACCGTTTATTTCCTTCACGCTGTAAGTCTTTGTTTCCATGCTCTCCAAAACCTTTATTGAAATGCTGAACTCTCTCTCTCTCTCTCTCTCTCTCTCTCTCTCTCTCTCTCTCTCTCTCTCTCTCTGTGTGTGTGTGTGTGTGTGTGTGTGTGTGTCATTAGGAAGCATTAACTTAGGTCTTACTTTCCTCTCAAGTGTTTTCAAAGCTCCTGCCTAAAGCGGCTGGAGAGATGGCTCTGCGGTTACGTCCATAGGCTGCCCTTGCAGGAGTTCATTTCTTGGCACTCAAGAGGCATCTTACAAGTGCCTGTAACTCCAGCTTCAGGGGATCCCACACCCTTCTGGTCTCCGAGGGCATCTGCACTCACCGCACATTACCCCCTCCCCAGTGCATAATCTAAAATAAAATAAACATTTTTTTTTAAGTTGCTAACTTAATGTCAACCTCCTCTTACAGCAAGAGAAGTTGGCATGGCCCATGACAGGTGTTGCATGATCTGTGGTATTTATTCCAATAGGGGTACATTTGTAGATTGAGGGTATATGATTAGGACTGGGACATCGTGTGGACGGCATCTTTCATAACTACCATCCAAGAAATGAAACCGGATGAATCCAGACAGAACTTGTGTCATTTGGATTTGAGTAGCGCTGAAGTCTTCACAGTCTACAAAGCAGCCCAGATCTGTGCTCATTGTTGACTCCCCCCTTTAAGTTCCCACACAAAGTGCCAGCCAGGTCAGTCCTGTTAGCGGCAGGTGCAAATGCAACTGTTAGTGGCTAGTGAATCCTGGCGGTGCACCCGGGCTGAGGGAGGTGGATCCTGAGCTCTATTCTAGCCCAGACTGAGACCCTGACTCAAACGACGACCCTCCTAACAGGCCCTCAGTTAGAAGGAGGAAATGGACCAGATTCTTAGGACCAATGGATGAGTAGCCTGAGGGTCCTTCATCCTGGTGAAAGGAGGGATAGGTGTGCGGGGGACCTCATCTGTATCCACCTCAAGACTAAGAGAGGGCCCTCTTTACCATAGGCTGGAGCCAGGCCGGCCCAGAGCTTACAGGTTTGACCTTTACCTTAGCCATGCCGCCACCATCTGAATTTTTTTTAACTTTTTTTTTTTTTTTTTTTTTTTTTTTTTTTTTTTTAAGACAGGGTTTTCCTCCGCAGCCTTGGTTGTCCTGGAACTCACTATGTAGCCTTGAACTCAGAGATCCATCTGCCTCTGCCTCCCGAGTGCTGGGATCAAAGGTGTGTGCCACCGCCACCACCACCTGGCTTGAATTTTCTTTAGATTCTAGAGACCAAAGCGAGCAAAAGAAAATGGAGACTGAGATAATGAGCTGGTGATCCGTGTCTGGAATCCCAGCACTGGGGAAATAGAAGCAGAAGGATCAAGAATGTAAGGCTAATCTGGCCTACAGAATGCCACTCTGCCTCCAATACGCTAGGCGTGGTAGCACACATTTGTAATCTCAGCACTTCAGAGGCAGAGGTAAGGACGATCAAGAGTTTAAGCCCAGCCTTGACAACATCGTGGATGTAAGGCTAGCCTTAATGAGACCTAGTCTCAAAACGAAATGTCAAAATGAAAATGTTTCACACCTACCTAGACACCCTTAGACAAAAGGAAGATTATCCATCCCAGTGACCCCCACCTCACTCCCCCCACACCATACTGCCCCAAGCTGGTTTTCATGCCAACAGACTTTGAACAATCACTCTTAGCTCCTGGGCTGGAGTGAAAGGAATATTGGACAAAGTTTGGCTGTGTCTGGGGAAAGTCGGAGGAAATGGGTTTTATGTTCAGGCTCAGAGCCCATAAAGGTTAGTGAGGTGTTTCTTAGGACTCTTGCCCAACACCTAGCACAGTGGCAGATGCCTGAACTACAGGGACTTGGGAGTTTCAGGCCAGCCTAGGCCGCATAAGCAAGTCAGATGTGTGTCTGTACATATAATCTGAAAAGCATTTTTTTCCCTTTTTCTTTGGCAGGGGCAGGGTCTCTCAATGTAGCTCTGGCTGGCCTGGAATTCTCTTCCTTTGTAGATTTAGGTACAGAGATCCACCTGCCTCTGCCTCCCACGTGCTGGGGTCAAAGGTGAGCACCTCTGTGCCCAGCGTAATATTTAATTTTAAAGAAGTTCCTCGAGCCCAAGACGGAGATGGCTTAACCGCCTTTCACCTACACCCTCGGGAGACGAAGCTCAGAGGTGGGGGTGGACAGGCAAAATGTGGCTACTTCCAGGCAACCAAACCAGGCCACTGGCCCCAGGCGCTCCACCTGGGTTCCTCTCAGGGCTCATTCCACTCT